AGCCATTATCCGGGTTGTCTTGTAGGGGTGGTGATCCCACTTCTGATGTCAGGGATGGGGGGTCAATGTTATCGGCCATGGTAGTTTCCTTTTCTTTTCTAAGCGCAGTGAGTCGCAATGACTAAGTAGTTCGTCCGCTTTCCTTCACAGTCTCGCTCGAACTGACTTGCACTTTTCCCTTTCTCTACTTTCTCGTCCTTCTCTACTCGTCATTGCGCCACACTCGGTAGGGAATACTCTCTTTTTCCCCACCACGCTCTTTCTTAATAAGTTCTCTTCCTATTCTCTCGTTGTTACTTATTTTACTCTTCCTTTATTTCCATATTCGATACACTTGGAGACTTACAAATAGTAATTACAACTGACATTTCAGGGTAATCTCCGACAAATACTTAAAAAAGGGGCTTTGTCCTATCTGATTCTGTTCTTAAATGTTTCATTTAACCTTTTAAATACTTTTAACTGCAGAATTTCCTATAAAATATTTTCAAAAACATAGAGAAATATATATGCACCAAATACTTCCAAGAAATCCCTAATAAATCACAAATAACCCTCCCCAAGTAGGGTAAACATTTGGTCTCTAGAGCCTTTTTGAGTTCAAAGTATTGTTACGTTCAGCATTCATAACAACAAAAACAGCACAAAAAAAAAATAAATAAAAAAAACAAAAACGGAAAAATGCAATTGCATTTTTTTGCATTTCATTCGAGAAAAAGATCAATAAAAATCAAATAATACAAGAAAACTTGCCTCGACTGGGGGATCAATCACATTTATGCTAATTAAACTTACATAATATAGTTGCGCCGGAGATTCGGATTCGGCATGGACATGGACATGGACATGGACCGTATGCCTTGACAAATTCAATTCAAATTTTTTGTTTTGACAAATTTCTGGTGTGCAGAAAAATGTAAAATGCTTAGATAAGACCAAACCGGCCAGATATCGCACTCGATATAGAGATATAACGTGAACAAATCTGAGCAAAGCTTTATTATGCAGCCCGAAGAAATGTGGATGCTGCCAAGGGGTTGGTGTTGGTTGGAGAGATGCTGATGGGTGTGGGATGTAAGATGTGGGGTGTATGGCTGCTCCATTGTAGCACAATGAACGGCTGTTTTGTGGTTCTTGCACTTTCGCTTCATAAAAATGCATACCACCTACATTTGTGTTGCTCGCTTTTCATTTTGTGCCCCCCCTCCTAAAGCCCCGCCCTCTTCCGACTTTCTGCTGCTGCAGTTCAGTGGCCACAGCAATCGCTATAGATCGCCGCCTCGGTTCGAGATCCGTTAATTCCGTGCATGCTGCATAAAGCAGAAGGGAAATTGTTACGGGAAGACGATCTGCGACGATCACTGGCCGCCCGATGCGGATGCTAAAGTGGTATCTGAAAAAAGCTGGGGGATGCTGAAATGCTGGGATACTGGGATGCTGGATACCTGGGGACCATTGTTCTACTGCTGAATTGCAAATCAGGCCCATAGTTCTCACTGCTGCAATTTGCCGTTTGTTGGGGCAGGCAGGCAGCAACAACAGTTCTTTGCGGGATGTTTTTCCGTTTTTCACACTGAAGAAAAAATTAAGGAAAACTAGAAAATATAAAGAAAAGTTTGATTTTTAATAAAAGTATTCATATTTTAATATATTTAGAGGAAAACAAAGTTAAATAGGAAACAAATTAAAGGGAATATACTTAATAGTCAAAAGTAAACCCTTTTATATTAAATAATAATTTTAAAAATGATATTATAAATCTAAAAACATTGAATTTACTTACCAAATTCTGTTCAAAACATTTAAAATTCAATTCTAATTAATAAAAATATTTTTAGGCTTGAGTAAAGGACACTATTGTTTTCTATCAAGTTAGTTTTAAATTTTCCAGTGTTAAGTTTAATGATTTTGAAACACCAACGGCTTTCATTGTACCGTGAAAATGATGAAACTGAATGCTTAATTATTTATTGAAAAAATGCACATATCTAAACATATAGGAAGTCCAATGAAAACTACTTGTTGCGGAATAAGTTTTCCTAGGTAGATCTACAAAAAGGTTAAAAAACAAATTAAATACAAAATATATAAAGAATAAAATTGAATTTCCAATAAAAATAAACTACAAAGAATCTAAAACTAGATACATTTGCTTTTCCTTTTTCCTTCAGTGCATTTACTAGTAGCTCCAGTTCAGTCAACTCGACTGGTCAACGACTCCTCCTCCTCCGACGAACGCTGGACACACACGTGGGTGTGTGGAGCGTGGTGGTGTCGTTGCCGTGGCCTTGTCGCTTCCCCGTCCAGGTTGAATGTCCCGTTGTGTCTTTGAACTCCGGCCAGGGCTATATGGCTGTGGCTGTGGCTATATACCACTCCTCTCTATGGCTATGGCATAATGCCCATCGAAGTCACCAGACAGTCAGACGTCTCTGATGAATGAGACAACGAACCCAAGGAGCTTAAATGCTGCGGCGGCATCAGCCGCCGAAAATCAATAAGTAAAATCCCAGCCGAAAATCGAAATATACCTGACGCGATCTTCGCATGCAAATCACGGGTCTCCCGATAATATAATTAAAATTACAAATTGGCAAAAGGAAGACGCCTCTTCTGGCTGCGGCAATTAGCATCGTCCAGAGCTAGGTTCTTTGCCGGATTGCTGGATTTGCTGGATTGCCATTGACTGAGATATGCATAAAGAGACGGCGACGTGACTTGAATGAAAGCACTCTGCCCCCCCACAAAAGCCTTGAGGCAGCGTTCATTGATCTCTGCCTTGATCTTCTTGTGCATCCAGATGATGATGCTGTTGCCAACTGGGATTGCCGAAATGCAGGCAGCTTACAAAAGAAGGGGTAACTACCAGGTCTTCCATAACTTGTGAGGAGATTCTTGGGGTCAGGAACAGTGGTTAGGTTCAAAATAGACGTGAATCTATATATAAAAAAATGGTAAAGAACCTAGAACCTTATAGCAAACCCTCTACAGATTTCCCTAGAACTATCTAGCTATAGTTTCCTCCCATTTTTTGTTACCATCTTCCCACAGTGCCTTTCGGCTGATAAATAAATTCTGGCATTAACTCGCCATATATTTTCATTATGTGCGACACAGAAAGTCGTGTTTTATTTCAACACAAGTGGATTTTAATAATAAAATGTGTCTAATTTGGTACCCACTCGCCATGGACAAGAGCAGAAGGAGAAACCTGATTGCATGCGCCTTTTTTTATTTATATTTTTATACGGCCTGCCCACCATGGACCGGACCATGGGATGTAGACTTTCCTTGGTGGCTTCCTTCTTGGCCTCTCTTATTGGGCTTTCGGTTTTTACGTGGTACGTGCGAGGCGTCAATGCTTCATTTCCACTGTCATCTTAAGTTGATTGCAAGTTACGAGCGTGTTGACACCCAACCTGTCCCTGCTCCTGCTCCGGCTCCAGCTCCCCAATGTCTCTTCTCTCACCCGGCCAGGGTAACGGTAATTGCAGTTGAGCATGCGTGTGCCGGGGTTATGCCTCGCTATCCATTCCCAGTGGTTCGGGGTTAATTCCCGGCCTACTCCCGGGCCATGTGCGGGCGGCTTATTAATCAGAGCGCCCATTGCACAACGATCCTTGGGCACAAGTCTTTTGGGGCATGATTCATGCTTAATTGGCTCATGATAGCGACACTGAAAGAAAAAGAGTCATTAAGAATTGAAAAAGCATAGATTTATCTATAAACCAACGATGAAATAATATTTCTATTAAAGGAATGAAGCAATAAAATAAATGGGAAAATGAATTTGGTTTTCTGGGAAAACTGCAGCCAGCTTCACTTGATTTTCAAAGTCGATAGAAGAAAATCGAGATCTATCGATAAAGCTCTTAAAACTGAATACTTTTAATACATAACATGTACTCACTAGGTCACATTAACTTACTTTTTATTCACACTTAGTGCAATAAATACAAGCCAAACTATAAAATATAGTTATACTACTTAAAAAGTTATATATATATTCCCAGTGTCTTGTCCCAACCCCGAATGCGCTGCTACGAATCCCAATCCGAGACCGATCCAGCTGTAAGCCGTGCAAATCTCACCCAAGTTGTCAATTTCACAGACAACACATTTCAATCAAACTTTGCCGTGCCATAAATAAGCCGCCAAGTGGACAGATCCGAAAAACCCGGCTCCGCTGCACACTCCACTCCACTCGAATCTTTTTAAGTCTCTCCCGCTTAAATTACACATTGTACTTGTGGTTGTTGTGGCTTTTCCTACCGCCGAGCACGCCTAACGTTCACATTTTTCCACATGAAATTATGAAGTTTCCATGGCAATTAATACGCATGCGCACAGTCTCTCCAGTCCCGAGTTGGAGTCCCAAGCTGCCATTCCAGGCGGGTGTTGTCGTCCGTCTCCGGCCGGCTCGCATGTCAATTTGATGGCAATTAACTTGGCTACGGCTTTTGTTTTAATAATAAATTTAATGAGCTGCCAAAAATGGTTGCAAATTTACGTGGCAATTAGCGGGCTAAATGACGGCGACACTTGGCCAAGAGATCGTGCCTGCCTGCCTGCCTGCCTGGGCGGACAACTAGCAGTCCAACACAACTGGCCAAGCGTCTCAAGACCAAGTTTCTGACTGTCGTCCAGCTGTCCGTCTGCCGCTGCTCCATTTTGCTAATGAGCGCTGCGATTTTCCTCGTATCTACTGGCTACACCGGGCAGGCTTGGCCAAGATGTGGTTGTACTTGGTGCTGTGTGTGCTTTTCGAGGGTGCGGTTAGCTTAATTTTTGGCGACGGGTCAGTTGGAAGTTGCAAGGTGACAGTATTGGTTGGAGCTCCCCTGGAACTGGTCACAGGTACATCCATGAGGCAAGTGTGTAGAGTTGGAATATTAAAATTTGATTTGATGAGAAAAACTTGAAAAGCAATTGTAAACAAAATACTTTTTATTAATAACATATATATATTTAAAGAATAATCAGAATATATTCATATTTTCTGTCATGCCTTTCCATGATATTTTTTCATGTTAAAAGCATTAAAGCATTTTTAAAAATTAAAAGGAAAGATTTAAAGATTTCAAGGATAAAACCACATTATAAACCACAAATCTAGTTGAGAAATTATTTCAGAAAAAAAAAATTCTTTGAGTTTAAAAACCCTCCTACAATCTTTGTTTTATAAAACTTCTGACCATGGACAAAACAAATCCAAGACCGCCAAGAACCTCCCATCAACGCGCCATTTGCGGATGATAGCCATACTCCTCGTACAGCTCATCCTTGCTCAACGTCCGCTCCAGATGCTCGGGCTCCAGTTGAAAGTAGCGCGGCAGGATCCTCCACTTGAACATGTTAAAGTAGTTGTACTCGCCAGACTCCTGGAATCCCCTATAAATGTAGTTCGGGTTGTCCATCTGCCGCAGGATCCACAAGTGTTCCACCTTGTGGTAGCGCCAGCTGCGCTCTGCCAGCTCGGCAGCCGCCAGCAACTGCATCATGTCGCCGGTGAATGTATAGAAGAAATAGAAAAGCAGCTCCACCTCCATCTGTTCCATCTTTGGCTGCTGGAGATCAATTTTCCCAGCAATGACATAGTTCTTTGGCACCTTGGGTGGTGTCCACTCCGGGATAGGATTGTGTTTAGGCTGATATTTGCAATTAAATTCGGTTTCATGGTCGCATTCTTCTCCGAAGAATTGTTCCTTTAGGTGGGGATTATGCTGCATCAGTCCCAGGTTTCTGGCCAGCCCCAGCATTCCAAAGCAGCCGTCCACCAAGTTCGCATCCGTTTTGCATGTCTCCTCGGTGTCGGTGGAGTCCCCCTCGAAATATACGCCACCGCAGGGCTTGCCGCTTTCGTGCATATTGAGGCGCGCATAGAGCTGCGTATTCTCGAAACCGGGCGGAGCTTGGGACCTTGAAGCCGATGGAATTTGGTGGCCCAGGGATCTAAGCTGAGCCCGCTGCCTTACGCCCTCGTGCAGGAATTGCTTGCCAAAGATCAGGCTGACATTGAAGCCTACGGGATTGTTGAGATAGCCAAAGAGCTGCGGCAGGAAGCTACAGTTGAAAGGTCCGGCCACTGGAATCGGCATGCCCATAGTGGCGGGGGCTGTTGCGATGATCGGTGGCAGCTGCTCTTCCTCCTGGAACTCCTCCTCCTCATCCTCCTCGGAGCTGCCACTAACTGTTAGCTCATCCATGCATTCGGGCGAGCCTTCATCTCCCTCGTCGTCGCTCAACATGGCGGTCCAGTCATCGGGAACCATCGAAGACGAGACGGAGGAGATGCGCGTGCCAGGCAGGGCGGGAAAATCCTCGCGAAACAGGCTGAACTCTGGTGGTGGGCAAGGCGGCGGTGGCGGTGGCTGTGACATCGCCAGCTTGGTCATATTCTTAACCACATCCACATACAAAATGGCATAGTTACTGGGCTGCGACGACGATTCCGGTGAATTCGGAGAATTCGAGGGCGATTGGGAGGAGCCACTGGCCGAGTCTTCCTTCTCGCGCTGCTGATCCTCAGGGGCCTTGGGGTTGAATTGACGTTTCATCGTGTACTCGGGATTTAAATAAAACACAAAACAAATTCTGAAATTTCGATCCAGAAAAGCAAGGCAAAAAAAAAATAAAGCGAAAAGCGAGCAACTGGGGTAACACGTGGCGGCACAAACGTTGACAACACTGATCGCCAAAATGACTTTAGAGGCTTTACAACACTGACAACTAAACCAGGGCATTGCCAGATCAAAGAAAAAACCCTGAGAGTTTAAAATGCAGCTTTAATAAACTTAAAGTAACGGCAGGCTTTTGTGTTAAGTCCTGGGAGAAGCAATTTAAAAGCTGAAGCCATAAATTCAAGCAAATTCACCTGCAGCTGGCCGAGTAAAAGTGCGAAAAAAAAAACACGAAAAGTGGCAAAAAGCAGCAGAAATGGCAAAAAATAACTCACAAAAAATGGTCATCTATAACGAAACTAGTCGGGGTGTATAGCCCATTAACTTAAAATGACACCGCAACTAACATAAATCTTGTTCTTTTGGCCCCGCAAATCCATATCTCTGGAAATTGACAAAGAAACACGGACCCCTAAAGGAGGAGACGCAACAATAAGTAGAAGGAGGAGTAGGAGGAGGAGCAACAGGTTGGCTATTAGCCCGAGTGCGCTCCTGCCCACAAAAGTTGAGCAGCAAGTTGGTCATTTGCCTGCCGCAAATCAACGAACATGTCCGCCGGCCACAAAAGTCACAGCTCTCGCGGAATCAGGTGCATGGTTGTCACGATCCACCACCTCATCCTCCCTCCACACACAGGCTTCTCGTGGCCCCGCAAATTAAGCACAAATAATATGAAAATACAATAATGTACAATCCCAGCCGCTGGCCAAGAAAAATGATACACATAAGCCTGGCCAAGTGCAGGATCTGAGCATAAGAAAGCAAGGAAAATGTATAACTAAACAATAACGAAATTGAAAATACTCTGAAAAATCCAAAGAAGTACTAAACAAAGTGGGAAAAAGTAAGAAATTCTATATAAATCAGACTATATTATTCTTCCATTTCCAAACACATCCTGGCAGGAATGTAACCCCACAAAGCAAGAGTATATAAAAGCAATTCAGCTCTTCCAGGATAGCAACTAACGAAGCCCAGCTCATCACGAACTGCGGGCAGAAGCTGCACCGGCCGCATAAACTACAATAAATCATACTCATGTTTTCCCGGGGACAGCGACAAAAGCTTGCCTGCTGCCTGCCACAGTCCACGATCAGTCCTGGCTAGCCAGTTGCAATCCCACCATCAGCAGACGGCCAAGAGATGGGTCAGGCCAATTGTGAAGCCATTAAAAAGCCAGGGCCAGCCAGTAGAGTCTCTAGGCCATGAGGTGTCAACTAGAGGTTGATTTTAAATTGGATTTTGGTCTTCATTTTATATATTTATTTCAGGAAAAAGCTTACTCCTACGCTAGGCTATATGCAAGGATAAAAAACCAAAAATATTGCCTTTTTTTTAACACCCAAAGTTTATTTACAAAGCAAAGGAACTTTTCTAGACGAGCAAGACCTGTTCGGCCGCCATCAAGGCATGCATTATGGAAATTAGCATCAGCTTAAGTGACGCCCCATTCGTTGGAACAAATGACTCCAAGTAGGAGAGTAGGAGCTCCTCTAGGTGCGTGCCGCCTTGTCTCCTAATGACCAGCGGGAGCAGCACTTGTAGTTGCCGTCTAAGACATCACTAAGCACCGAAAGCTGGAAACTCTAGGAGCGGGTTGAGTTTTACGAGCTCAGTCTCGGGAACATATAAATATGTGCATATTCCTCACCTGAGTGGGCTTAGTGGCAACCGGGCCATTAGCCTAAGCGTTCAGCATAATGGCCATATGTTTATGAGATTCTTGGCAGCCTTAAAATAAGAATTATTCACAAGAGGCGTACCTAGACCACTCTTGTGGGACGTCTTTGTGGGCGTTCGTCAAGTCAAGGTTGCGTCTTAGGTTGGCTTTCTTTCTTTGTTTTTTTCTTTTGAGAGATTTACGAGCAACTAGTAATTTAGTTTAAGGAATATTAAAATTCTCAAAATTGCATCATTTGTCGGGACTTGTACTAAAATATGTTTTGTGAGAGCTGTGTTTGGTTTTCATTTATAATTGGTAGTTAATAAAACCAAGATACTTTTTTAAGAAGAGCTGAAAATAAAACGATTTTCAGTAAATCGATTTTTGTCTAAAAATGTCTACAAGTAAATCGATAATAATCGATTAAAATCGAAAACTAAAATAATAGCTATGGATATTTGTATTTAAAAATAATAAAACAAAAATTGTTCAATGTTGTACTTAGCTTTTCCAAAAGCTTACATACGTATTAAACATTTTCGATTAAATCGATTCTGAAAATGTGTATCAAAGTATCGCATAATTGAAAATGAAATTCGATTAAACGATTATAAAATCGATTTTTGTAGGTATTGGAAAATTCAATGTTTCTTTTTTCCCTACTTTCTTGAGCATAGAAATTCATTAAATGTAAAAGAATTATCACTAATTTAAATTTTTATTTAAATTTCCTGAACTACTTTCTTTATTAATTAGCTAGCTTCACCTAGCTTTCTGTAAAAGCCTTGGGCCAAATAAACAAAATATGAGACATTTCTTTTTTCGATCAACAACAATTGACATTTGCAATCAGAGCAACGGGAGCAACTGCAGCAAACCGGGGCAAGCACGCACTGCCGGCAAGTGAATGGCAGGCGGTAATGGCCACGACAGGTAGAGGTAGCTGGAAACGGACTAAAGTTAGCCAACGTAGGTGGCACACTGGACACTGGATGCGATGTGGAATGCTGTGTGGCGGGGGGGAGAGACATCCACTAACTGGCCAAAGTGTCAAACTTGCCAAATTGAAAACGAAGTTACGATGCAATCGCGGATTTGTTTATGCTGCCGTTTTGAACCGAACGCAATTATATTTATTTTTTTTTTGTACTTATTTTTATTTTGTATTTTTTATTTATTTTTTTTTGTTCATACATTGTACGTGGGCTTTGCTTGTACGTTTTAAATTTAATGAAATATTACGCGCACGTGTCAACGGAGCAATAAAATTTATTTACGCAGCATTGCGGGTCAAGTGAAAGCACATTTTTCTGGGCACTGGCACTGGCACAGACCTTCAAATTGAATTTACGCTGGGATTCGGGATCTCGGTTCTCCACCGAATTAAAAATCGAAACCGAAATCGAAATGTAAACCTGACTTTCGGGGGGCTGAGCTGGCATAAAAATGGGCGTAGGGCAGTCGCATTGACACGCGGCCATATTTTAAATGTCAACAGGAGGAAGGTAGCAGCAGGAGGAGCACCAGATCCCATCGAATCGGATCGAATGGGAAGGGATCCGGCCAAGGATGGGGGCTGTGTCCATGCCCATCAAAAATTCAATAAAATACCATTAAATTACAAAATGAAGACAATTCATTTTTAGTCTTCTTTTTCGGTTTTCCTTATTTTCGGTTTATTTTTTTGTCTTGAGACGCGATTGCATTTTGTTTCTTTAAGCAGGAAAGGAGCATTTAACGTCGCTTATTGCTGTTATAAGCAATAAAGTATTAAAATCCCAGCCTGCTTATAAATGCTGAAAGCGACATTTATTGTCATATTTTACGGAATCAGTGAATATTCGGTGAATGGTATGGTCAGTGCTCTCTAGATGAGTGCAGGCTATGCCAGTGGAGGTTCTATTGTGTGGCCATAAACTGGGAGTGATTGATGTTAGCTATGAGGCTTCATACATCTTGATGTACTTGTACACACACGGGGAGGTTTACTAGTGAATTGACAAGGTCAAAGATTATGGTTGCGATTAGGCAATGAAGAATGGGAATTGTATGGCTATATTGAAAAGATATATTTTCAGAATATATTTTCTGGGAGTTTTGATTCGAATAACTGAAAATGATGAAGTTGTTTTCGAGTTTTTAGTAAAGATATTGTAATCACCGTAGAGAGCCACATTTATATATATTTAATACACTTAACATTTAATAATTAAATGCAATGAGAGCATCTTTAATTGCCCACAACATCATCCCACCCCAAATGCCTCCAGGACACTGACCATAATTTTCAGTCATAATCGAATACCGGCCGGCAGAGGAAAAGGAAAAACGGAAAGGTGCACGGATCGGTACGAAGAGTAATGGCCAAGGGTTGGCCCAGGGCAACGCCCATCCCATAAGTACTACCGAATCGAATTCGAGACAATTTTTCTTATTGCCTTCAACTTTGCACTGCCAAAAATAAAAAAAAAACTCGCTCGAAGCTCGAAGCGCACTTTCAATTAATCAAGGAAATTAATTAAGGCTGCGGATGGATGCTGGTGGTAATTCCACCGGAGCACTGGAACTCGGTTCAGTGACCAGGCCAGCGGGGCGGGCAACACGCTCGCCCGATTGCAACATAATTTTCATTTGGCTCAGCATGCGTTTTCATCGTCGCGGTTATCATTTGGACGTTTTGGACTGGGATTGGGTAGCAGACGCGGATTGGAACTGCTGCAGCCCAGCCAGCCAGCCAGGCTGCTGCTGGTGCCTGGTCAATTAGCACGCATGTAGCTCGCCGGGCACTGGCGGGGCGATAATTAAACGCAGGTCGCCATGGATCGGTTGCCAAAAGCCGCCTGCCTGGTGACAATTGGCCACGATTTATGCATGGCCCCAATTGCGTAAGGTTTTCCCAATAAATTTCGCGCCTAATCGCGGCACAAACAGCAGCTACCATGCTGGGATCAGCCGCCGATTGGGTTAATGGGTAATCGGAGCAGTATACTAAATTTCAACATGGTAGTACCTCAACACGATCAGGAAAGAGGGAAAAGGATAACTAAGGTTAGAAGGAATAGCAAAAAGATTTGCAAAGCTCTCTCGGAGTGATAAGCTTGTACATTGCTGGCAAAGCGTGAAGCTCTAGCAAGCAAAAAATAATAAATAGCTAAAGTGGGTTATGCCTTTTCTATCACAAATCTGGATATGAGTAGTATACATTTTCTAAACCATTTAGTATTATTTATTTGTTTGGCACTTATTTATTTCCAAATTTAAAATAAAATGCTTCCTACAGATAAAAACAGCAACAAGACCCTGGATGATCTTTCCTATGACATCCTGGATCAAGGGCCTAAGGTACATAAATCTCCATCTGAAAATCACATTGTGGTTGAGTGTGTGGGTGACAGTAGGGACGCAGGCCCCTCACGAGCATCTGCATCCACTTTGGTACAGCCCGAGCAGCTAGACCCAAGACAAAAGGAAGGTGCTGCTGAAGGTTCAGCATCAGTTTCAACACATTCCACCTACCAAGGGCAAGTTCCTTTATATTCCACCTGCCAAGGACAAAAAAAGAAGAGCATTCTAACAACCGAATCCAAGACGAATCCTTTGTACAAGGAGAAGCTTCGTCAAAGGCTGAGACTCTTGTTTGTTTCAGACGCAGACATACAGTCAATGCCAACCGAAAAGGCCGCAGAGCCTAGTTTGGAAAGCCAGTTGAAGCCGAGCAGGGATAGTTCCAAGCTGGAGAATCGCTTGGATGACTTGACGAAACGTGTGCTCATCCTGGATACCAACATGGATAGCTTGGCCTAGAACAAGTGGTAAAGATTGAAACATCTTCAAAGAAGATTTCCTGCCATCTTGGACTTGGATTTACCTAAAAAGATCTTCCAGTTGCACCTGAATATCATGCGAAGAAGGATCTCACCACCTATTTGAGGCTTGACTGTCTAAAAGAGGAGCTCATCCATGACAAACCCATAGAGTTGACCCCCTCGTGGCTGCAAGAATGTGCGTTGTCAGTGAAAGTGAAAAATTTTAAAACGAATAAGAGAAATTGTGCCTGTCATTTAAAGACTGGGGTCGGGGCTTGGAATTTTTGGGGGAAAAGCTTTTAGCTGTGGACATCTTGTTGGCGGCAAAAGGGTTGCTAAAACAAAAGCTGTGTTTTTCTGACCAGTATGTTTCACTCAAAACTATTAATCGAAGTGCAGTCAGCGTCATGTGTCATGTGTGAACTTTCTTTTGTGGAATCTCCCATTTTCCAAATCCCAGTTCTGGACATACAAAAATATCTAAAAATATAAACCTACATACAAGAATTTCCCTAGTTCAAAAGCGTATCTGTTTTCCCTCTGCACTTCCCAACTTTTACCCATTTTGACAATAATTTCACTGACATTGCATGTCGATCAGTCACAAAAATTTCCTCGCATTTGCCAATTTTGGGGGGCTTGAATGCAATGAGTTTTATTACTGCCATTCCTGGCCGGTACTTCCCCTCCTACCCAAGCTGGAGTCACTTCGTCATGTTCGTGGTCCGGCGATAACCGCCGGCTCTTTGCATTTTGGCCAAATATTAGCACACAATTCGATTTTGCATGCCAGCCCCTCTGAGAGGGGGATAGGGAATGGGCACGGAAGAAACCAGTCAATTTCCACGAGTGCAAGTGGCGAGTTTTCCATGACACTCCATGATCTCTCCCCATGGTCGATCGGTCGGTCGGTCGCTGTGTGTCCTCCGGCAGCTGTGCGCATTTCGCTTTCACCTGTTGGCCTGAGTTATGTAAAAATCCACTGTCAAATTAATGGTGATTTATATATGCGGCTTAATGGGCACTTGGCATGGGATGCGGGTACTCATGAGTGTGAATGTGCTGGATATAACGGCCAGCCGCCAAGTGGCCTTAAACTGTTGCCGCACACCGATCTGTGGGTGAATTATTTTGGCTCAAATGCGAAAGGAGAGCATAAAGATTCAGTTGAGTTCATAATTTTTAAAGCTTCACAAATTTTGGTGGAGAAAGGTTAGATAAAATGAGTTATCTATAGGCTGGTAGGATGTGATGAAAATTTCGTGTAAAGCGTAAAGTTTACTTGTATAAATTTACTTAAAAAATTACTTTCAGCTTGAAAGTACACTCTCTTATTAGAATTACAAGTTTAAAATAGATTAAACAAAGTATTTAAATTATTTTAAGCTCATTTAAAGTGGAAACTCTCATAGTTCCTGCTCCCAATAAACCCAATAATAATTGCAAGGTCAGTAGGAGCACCAACAGCAACCAACAAATGGTCCCGCTTAATCCCATCGTTTAAGTTTGACATCCTTGGAATGTTAAACTCATGCACTTAGCGTTAATCCAAGTCAAACAAAATGCCTACAACTGGTTGGGGCTTGTCAGGGGCAATTACCTGGTCCCGGGACATCCAGGAGTGACTGATGATGGGTCCCAGACATCGCCCCGTAGCAGGCGTCGCGACAAAATGCCACCGCACTCGAAATCCGCGATCCATGGACGCGTCTCCGCGAGTGGTGACAATAAAAGTGCAAGGCAATTTGCGAATGCGTCTCTAATTGAGCCCATTGGGGGGAAAAATAGTTGACAAACTAATACACTGAGGGAAAGTTTGGTAATTGATATTTTTTAGAAATTATTTAGAGTGTGGTTTTCAAGCAAATCTTAATTTAGGGAGAAGGCTCTTCAGTATTCATTAAAGTATTCAATTTATAAATTGTTAATTGGTTTTGTGTTGATCTATTTTAAAACTAACATAAATAATTTACCATTAATAATCTATTTAATATTTACTTAGAGGGAATTAATAGCTAAATACATACATATTAGCGAACAATAATAATCAACTAAATCTAGACTTTAGTGACTTAATACGTTTATTTATCCCAAAAATGTGACAAGGATTGCACCTTAAAATTCCCAAGTACGAATTTAGAGAGAAGCTGCCATAATTATCCAAGCAAAATGTTGACATATGAAAATTTTAGATGAAAATAGATTGATGAGAGAGAATATTTTTAATTATTTAGATAAACAGTTGTTTATTTATATTATTATGGGTTATGGGGTTTTAAAAATTAATTATTTAACTTCATAATTTATAAGATATTAATTATAAAAAACCCATGACATAAACTCTGACATATTAGAAAGGTGGCTTTAATTAAGTCAAAGAGCCTTCTTGGTCTGCCAGGTGACAATCAGTTTGTGTATTTTTGCTTGAAATTATTTGTTTAATTTTTACACACACTCACACACAAAGAGAGAGAGAGAGAGGTAGCGGAAAAGCGGGGAAAGAGAAGGTGGACCTAGTGCGATTGGAATTTCATTTAGAAAGTTGCACTGGGAAGTCGATGTGGCGGGCTTTAATTTGCATTTTCCAACTCTGAGCGACATTTGGCCAGCGAAGGAGAAGGAGGACTTTGACTGCGACTGAAACCGAAGCTCAGATAGGCGACATTCTTCTCCACTGCCTTCACTTTTCTTGGGCTAAAAAAAAAACAAAATCAAAAACAAAAAGCCGTTTAGCCGCAATTGGGTCATTTAATAATAATCGTAATCGTTAGGAGGGGACTCCCCCCCGCTCACCGCTCACGATCTCCTCTATTCTAATTCCGTCAATCATCCGCAACTGCAACTGTTTCTTTTTTTCCTCCCAAAGCCAGTTGAGCTCGTGCTCTATTTGATCTTGATTTTGATCTTTAACTTGTCTTGACGCATATTTGATTTTGCCACACCCGCCGCCTCCACAGCCACAGCTTCGTCTCCCCCAGGTGCCCCCAACTTTTCTTCTTTCCAGCGAAATGCTTTCTACTCCGCACCGTTTGCCTTTGTCTTGGCTGAAACGCTTGGCTCTAATGGCTTTTGATTGATTATCGCGTGCCATGGTTGCTCCGATCTCTGTGGGTGCTACAGCCAGAGCCACAGCTCCATCTCCAGCTCTGGATTCAGCTCCAGGTGGTGTCGCTTGGCCCACGATCGAATCTCTTCTTTTGTTGGCTTTCATTTGAAGTCTGCTTAATTAGCCCGATATGTGTGCGCCGCCGCCTTGTTGACTCTCTGCACGTGCTGTGATCCCCTCCGATCACCGCCAGACTTTGACTGCTCCTCCTTCCACACCGCATATGATGTGATGTCAGTTCCTGGTACCAGAAACCACTCGGGGAGGCATGAGTGGGCACATCGAATCGATTGGAGAAGTTCAAAGTTGAAATTTGTTGTACAAGGTGGAGGAGTTGAATGGAAAGGGAAGTACTACGTGACGCATGTTGGGAAGGAAAGGGTAAGGGTTTTGGGAAACTAAGAAATATCTGGCAAATGTTATTTGTATACCCTTAACTAGAAGCCCAGATAATCCTTGTCTAACCTGTAACAAATAAATATTGCTGAAAACTTTTCAATGAAAAGTAAGGAAGACCCCATTTTATTAGTAAATTATTGACAAGGTATTATTATTTTAAAATATAACTTTATTTAAAACGATAAATGGGAATTTTACTACGTTTCATTGTCCGCCTGGCAAATAAAAAAGGCTTTACCACTACAATAGCCATCCCCCATTTTGCCATTATACAAATAGAGGCAGTTATTCTTATGGTTGCTGTCGTTTGGTTCTCCCTCGGCCCACTTTAAAAATGGTGCTGGCTTTTGTGAGGCCACAGATACAAAGTGCCCCTCATTTTCTTGATCATTAATGCCTAGCCAATAGTACTTATTTTTTTCAAGCTTTGGTATAATGGCGTTAATTTCTTCTTCATTTTGAAGGAAGGCTAAGTACCCTCCCATCTCACGACACCTTCTTTCAGCATAATTCCAAAGCACTTCTTCATTTACAATTCTAAAATATCTGGTACCAATTCGCTCGAAACTGGATCGCTCGAAAGTAATCGTGGCTGAAGCAGGGGCTGCTTGTTGGGGGACTCCCACCTTGGCAGCATCTATCTTGTTCGACAGTGCATGCAGTTGATTTAAAACCACCTGAAGTTGGGCTTCAAGCTTTATCTGAACCGCAAGAAGGTTTTCTTCGAGTTTTGCCTGGGAGTTCTCCATCTTGGTCAGTACCACCTGTTGTCCTTCCAGCTTGGTCTTTACCGCAAGCAGACTGTCTTCCAATTTAGCCTCCATCTTAGTTTGTTGTCCCTCCAGATTCGTTTGCACCTCCTGAAGTTGTCTTTCCAGCTTAGCTTCCACTCCATGTAATTGTTCTGCCAGCTTATTTTCCACTTCTTGCAGTTGTCCTTCTACCTTGGCCTGCACTTTTTCTATTTTCACCTCCAATGTCTCCAGCTTTGATTTGATTTCGTTGTCAGCATCACGGCCCCTGTCCTGGGCCTGAACGAAGTCGTTCAACGGAGATCGTAGTTCAGACTCATTGGGACTCATATCGTCTAATAGGATTGTAAAGCCAAACTGAGGGCTCTTCGCGAAGGATCCATGCCGCAGTATACAGACAGCCAGTGCCCAAAGAAAGAAGGTTGTGAAGTTGTGCATCCTTAAACTAAGACCGCTAAAGTTGAAAGTGTATGGTGAACTGATTCCCGAATTATTCAAAGACTTTCGAAGAGGCATCGAGCTTAGACTGGGATTGATCAGAGAGCTTTTTATGAAGATGACGACACACTCAGTCTACGCATTTCCCAATTTCTGTGTATATAAAAGTGTATACAAACAGATAGTATATTCTAGGCCACTTGTTAAATTCGCATTTAGCAGAAAAAAGTAAAGTTTGTAGCTAAGAGCGCACTCATCAAGCAGCGTGACTTAAATCAGAGGTTCAAGAGTGAAGATGAAGTCTCTTATCAGCGGATTCCCAAAATCACGCGTTGGCTTGCGAAGAAGCATCCGGTCTAAGGTGGAATTGATAAGAGCTATATATTTATAAAAACGATCGTATTTACGTATTGCCCAAGAAGGAGTTTCAATTGGCTGAGTATTATTTAAAATATAATGTTATTTAAAACCCTCCTTACGAATTTTGCAAAGTTAGAAGAAGTCCGACAATTTAAAATATTATTTAATATAATCAAAATATATGTTTTAATCCTAATGATAATGACTTAAAAAAAGAAACCTCCACAGTCGCCTTTCCCCAATCTCTTAAATACTTCCTTAACCAAAAGGCCAAAGCCTCACAACTATGGTAAATTGCAGCTAAGACTCTCCTGCTAGTTGCATTAATTTTCCATTAAGACCATAGATAATCTTGGCTATAATATTACTTCTCTCTTTGGCCTGGCTCAAACTTTCCACTCATTATGAATGTAAGTTGACAATAATGGCTGGCCTGGAGTTCATCGATGGAACTGCTTGCCAATCGCAGCCATCAAATGGCTCTCTGACTTTCCCAACTCGCCATCATCATCTCATCACAATAACGTCCTGGTCCTGGTGGGTGAAATCAAAACCCCTCGAATGTGCTGTCAAAAAATGATATCCAACTGAAAGAGGAAAAAATAGATATATTGGGGGAGGTGCTGTAGTGATTCCCCTTGAGGTTTTGGGGTTACTTAACTGCCGAGTACATATGTCAACACCATGAACTTGAAACCCATGGAACTTGACTGGACCTGGGGCAGGAGTAGGAGCAGGAGCAGCTGCCGTTGCATTTACCTCGGAAAGCATTTTGTATTCTAATTAGATTGTCAGCGGCACGACAACAACCTCATTTTGCCAGCGCAAAATGCCTTTTCACATTTGCATTAGCGCCAACGTGAGGAGAGAAGACAAAAATCTGCATAAACTTTGGACAGTTGCTTCAGAGGGCACTGGAAAAAATTCTAGAAAAATTAAAGAAAATTAAATTCAGATATTTTATACTGCTTCCAAAACGTACATATTAATTTCTAAAAGTTATCTTTAAATAAAATACAAAATAAATATTTATAAAAGGAAAACATCAAGATAAATGGTGCTAATAGTTACTATATTTCTTTGAATTTATTCTAAACTTTAAATTTTATGAAAATTGCAAAAGAATCTTTATTTCCTAAATTTCCCTTACATTTAATACACTTTTTCTTACAGTGCCTTGGAGTAGGAGTGCTTGGTTTGAAGTTCATTAACATGCACAGGTTAATTACCGTTGTTGTTGGTTACCCCGCTCAAGGAAATGAGCCATTAGAGGAGGGGCAAGCTTAGGCTTAAGCTTAAGCTGGAGCGCCGCCGCCGCTGCAGTAGCCAAAAAGCCGGCGATAAACCTGGCTAAAAGCATACATAAAAAGACACATGTTAAGTGTGTCGGAGCGGAGGGTTCATAGGAGTGAAAGAAGGGGAGAGGGACGACTGTGACAAATGCCGGTGAGCACGAGGAGGTGTACGTGGCCGGGCTTTTCCTTCTGGCCAACATGCAAAATGTTGCACTGATAAGAGACACAAAGCCAAGGAGTCATCCCGTTTGCCGCCGTTTTCTGTTTTGCTGAACCGAAACAGAAGCGGTAAATGAGCATCCCGGGCACGATCATTAAAACAAAAGCGGCTGCCGAGAGGAGCCATCACTGACAAGCCATGACCAAGAGGAGCAATGGCCAGGAAAAAAAGTTTAGAAGGGTTAGGATCTATCGACTAAATGGTACTGGGTAGTTAGGATGTTGTTTAGAGGTTGATGATTTTAGTTTGGTATAAAAATTAGTAAAATATTGTGTTAATCAAGCTTTAATTTTGATAGTTTTTAATTTTTCTCCATTTTTTTTAGAATTCCCAACTAGTTTTAGCTGCTATCTGGCTATCTGGGGTTGTTCTTCACCTATATACAGATGTTTTTCACCAGTTTCCTGTGTTTTTTTGTTCTAAAGTCGTTGTTATTCTTCTTTTAATAAATTTAACTCTATAAAAAATAATTTCTAAAACATATTCCTGATTTAATGTATATACCCTGCCTCTGCTTAAGCTTAAAGGGTATCCAAAATAAATACGAGAGTAGAACAACAGCTACCAGGCTTCAGCCTTCTCTTCTGGTGTTGGATTGCCTTAAACGATCCGCGTGAATAACTAATTTCAATGGAGTCTGTGTGCCTGTGCCGCTCGCCTCCCGACATTTATCACCCACCATCGGCGCAGCAGTTCCTAAGACTGGAGCTGCACCGAGCCCAGAAGACAATGGGACAGTTCATTTATTTTTTTCGCTCCTCTGGCAGTGTTTTTTTGTTTGTGTTTGTGTTTGTCCCGCTGCAGACAATAAAAAGTTAGTGCCGGGACTCTCTGCGTAGGACATGGACAGAGGAAACGCATCCAGTCCAGGGATCGGGCCTTAATGAGCTGAAATGCGACTAGCAAAAAGGAGCTGCCGGCAAAGTGTGGTCAAGATAAGTTTCCTACAAAACTGGCAGGCACAACGAGCCAAGTGAGCCTGTTTTTTTCTGTATATAAATAGGATATGTTAAAGCGCGATGATCTAGAAAAACAGCAGGAGTTAAGGTTAAACAGAGATCTCATCTTGCTGATAAGATCAATGAAGATGTAAGGGCTAGTCCTTGTTCTATTTAAATTGTATAAGCTAGAAGTCGGTTGACTTTAAGCTGGTTAAAGTTTATTCACATTTTAAGGATCTTGCTTATTATTATTAAAAAAATGATTTAGTTTAAGGAAAAAACCAAAAAAATTGTTGCTTAAATCCAGGAAGACCTTCATCCTTCTAATTCCCAAACTATTTCTTAGCCAAACTCAAGTCAGTGGGCCTGGTAAAGTATATAGTGCTCTGCTTGTCCGCCGTAATGGCCACCAGGATATTCTGCGACTCACAAACCGAATTGTAGAGATAAGCCTCCGTAAAGGAGGTGCTGGCATGTCCATAGTTTGTATATTGATGCGGCGCCTGGTTGACAGTCACCAGCTCGAAGGCCTCCAAGCAAGTGTCCTTGTCCCTATAGTTCTCGTTGTAGTAACCAAAGGGTATAAGGTTGGTGTTATTATGCGGCGTGGTGATCTGACCTATCAGGTGTCGCGTCACCTGGTCACTGGTCACGCTATCAAGATCCTCCTGAGGCTCCGAGATGTAACCCCTAAAGTCAGAGCCATCAATCTCCACATCCAAATAGTAAATGGCATTGCTGATCAGCGGAAAGGTGTAGTTAAAGCACTTGTAGCCTATGCCCTCGCCGCCAAAGGTGCTGCAATCAAAGTTGGCACCTGGTTTGGCGCTCGTAGCATCCCAAATGGAAAACAGGACTGTGAACTTGGAGCTCTTGTCCCAGTTCTGTAGACCTATATAGCCACTTGATTCTGATGTGTAAAACTGCATGAAATTGTAAACACCATCATTGCGGGGATTCGGGCTGGTCATCCACTGGAAGATGCTCCTAATACCAATAAATCCTGTGTCCTGGTACTGAATGATGGTCCTGGCATTGCCTAGAATATCATTAAAACGCGTAGATTTTAAATCCTGCTCTTGGTGCAGGACCTCCATGAACCGGGCCATGTCATCCTCGGCCTCCTCCAGAGTGGGATGTGCTGCCTGGACTTTAGCCAGGCAAAAAGCCAAGGCTAATAAATAAAATAGGGAAACTTTTGTTGATGCACCCATGTTGAACTTGATTTGACTTGTGAGTGTTGCCCGGCGCAGTCACTCTATTTTATATGGAATCCTATCGAGTGTTTATTTGCCAAGTGATAAAGTCAATGCATTTCGCATTGCGCCATTCTCTTGGAGTGATAAGAACCCACTTAGTTGGCTGAATTCTGAGGTAACTCAATGGGCTTTATGCAGTAGCATTTTTTAAATTATTATTATGAAACTTGGAATTAAAGGTATCAAATTTTAAAAATATTTTTTGTTGACTTAAATATAAGAAATAAATAAAAATAGCTATTTAAAGCCCTTCCGCAACCTTTAATTTAAAAATATTTCTGACATTGTCAGTGTCTTTATCAGTATCCAATAGCTAAATATTTAGCGTTTTGATAACCACTAAAATATTCCCCTATTACCCACACTTTCAAGCCAAAAACTCAAGTCTAAAGTACACCCACTGAAGAGCTCTTCCAACTGATAAAAGTCAAGCTAATAAGCAAGCCTTCGGGTAGCAGGGCAGCTCCCAATTATTTACCCTTATAGTTATAAAACCCACAATCTGGAGGAGGCATTAGCTCAAGGCTCGAGTGTGCGCCACTCGATTAGGTATTGACCCACAAAAAATTCCACTCGGATCAAGGTCCCTAACCCGGAGCTAAGGCTTGCCCTCAAAGAGCAAAGAGGACGGCCCAAGTTCAAGTCATAACTCAGCGATCATCCTTCCTCATCCCAAAAAAAAAAATAAACCGATCCTCATCCTTGGTCCCCCTTAGCTGGCCGCATCAGCAGTCAGAGAACGTAGCACTAAATCAAGCCCACATGGAGTTTGGGGCCAGGCGGCGGGCGACCAGCATCGGTTGGTTGTTCCCTCGCTTTTTGACAGTTTCGCGCACAGTAGCAGTTGCAGTTGAAGTGGAAGTGCCAGACCCTAAAAAAAAAAACCACAGTAGCAAAGGGGAAAGGCACTGGGAGAAATATCATATTAAAAAATTAAATAATTTATACTCAAAGCACAGTATTAATTTTTAGGTAGCATACAGGCTTAGTTGAACTTTTCAAAGGTATAAAAACTTCTCTTAAAATATACATGTATTTTTTTATATTATCTCAAGACACTCTCCCCTTTTTTTTGACTAGTGTACAAACCTAGCTAGCCACAGCCGCATCATCCTCGCCATCATCATCATGTCTGACTGTGGCATGATAAACACAAGCTGGGCAAAGGTAGAGGCTCAGGAGTAGGCACAGGCGCAGGCGCAGGCACAGTCACAGGCCGTGGCTTAGGCGCAGGCTGAACATGTGTTGCCTGTCGAAGATCCAGGAGAAAAACGCGACCCACAGCCTCGTCTACGAGTGGCCATCCAGGCCGGTTGCTCTTTTTGTTTTCGCTTCACTGGAACTGGCACAACCTTTGGGGGCTCACATAAATTTTAAATATCCGCCAGAGATGCGCCTGGGAGCAGGGCTACCATATTTGGCAAAAACGGCCACCAGCTCCGCCGGGAAATGCAGTTTTTATCCATTTTTATTGACCCGCAAAGGAGGAGGCCAATAGCCGTTGGCCAAATGGCCGGTGGCTGGCTCATTAGCCAGTTTTTTGGGGGGCGCATCGGGGCGTATGAGTAATGCAGCGCAATTTGCACGCCTTGAAAGGATTAATTCGTTAACAATTTTTCGCCGCTGTAATATGCAAGACAAAACCAATAAATCTATTAATTAAGCCGACATTTGTTTAGCATCTGTTGCGATTTCCTTTTCTCTGTGCAACTTGTGATAAATATGCCCAGTTCTCTGGCATAAAGTCTGGTCAAAAGTCTGGTCTCGGTTTCTGAATGGATTTTGCTGAAATTTAAGACAGTGGGTGGTCCGGATTGAAAACTGTTTTTTTTTTGGTTTAACCTGAATGAATCAACTGGAAGGGTACAGTGGGGTAGGTTGAAAATGAAGTGGAGGTTGAATAGGATTTTAAATGAATTTTGAATACATATTATTATAATATATATAGATTTATATTTATTTTTATTGTTAAACTAAGATACTTAGCTTTTATAAATTTCTTGAAAGTATTAGTTATAGTGTGACCTTAGTTCTGTATTTATTTTCATGAATTCGTTGCATAAACTTAGTCTTAAGTTTAATTCAATTATTCTTATCACTACCATTTGAATTATTAAATTTTTTCTCTAAGAGTTATCTCCTTAATTCTGAAATAATATTTATATTTTATATTTATACTTTTCTGAGTAATATTTTCTAACTAAACCCCAATGTGCTGGGCACAATAAACCCAATTGCCGACAAGGAACAACCTGGACTTGGCGAACTTCTGTGGCCGCTTGGTGTGTATAAATTTGCCAAATTAAAAAGCGACAGTGAGACTCGCAAGAAGGTTTTTCCGGGGAAGTCGGTGGTCGGGTGGAAGGAGGTTTTTCCTTTGAGATCGAGAGTTGTGAGTCCAAGAGCCACCCACCGCCGCCCCCAGATGACGCAACAGGGTGCCTGTCGCAGGCGTCTATAAATAAAGCAGCCGCCAGAGTAAATCAAAACAAGGCACGAACATGTGGCGCTTGGAGCTGCAGCTCCAGTTCCAGCTTTAACTCCAGCTTCCAGCTCCAATCACCAGGATCAAGTGGGCCGACTGCCGGTATCCCGGGTGTGGTCGCCATTTGGATTGGTTTGGGATTTTGTGGATTTGTCATCCCCCATCTGGGACCATAAATTCGTTACGCATTTTCCAAGAGCCAGAGGCCAGCACACACACAATGCGGCCATAATGTTACCGATCTTGCTTTTGATCTGGCCCGTTGTCAACATCTTATTCCCGTCCTGACATGATTGATTTTTCATGTTCCCAGCAAAGTGGTGGACTCCTCTGGGGTCAGTTGGGGACTTTCTAAAAAAAAAATATGTATAGTATTTTGCACAATCTTCGAAAATGCCAGGTGTACAGGGAGAAATAGGGATTCATTTTCTAAACAGAAACTAATAACATTAGTTATTTGAAACATTTCATAGGAAAATCTTTAAATATCTTTACTTATCCATAATATCCCTTTAAAAAATAGTTTGTAGTTTATTAACATATTAAAAATTTTAGTTTTTTTCATGTGTATAAAATATTTCAACAATTTTTCGTAAAAGTAAGGCCAGCAGAGGCTAGAAACCCCTTCTATAAGCTACGGCAAAGCCTTTGAACATGGTTTTTAGCCATATTTGGCCACCAAAAAAAAGCGATTCCCATTCACACCTACCAACGTTAACTCAATTTGGCAGCAGCAACATCAAATTCTGATGGCAGTAAAAGTGCCTTAAAACGTTTGTAAATGAAATTTATTGTGCCGCAAGTGTGTGTGGTTGCACAAATTATTTTGTTTGATATGGCCGAGGGAAAGATCTAAAGGAGATCCGAGGAGATCTGGAGTGCCTTGGGGCAAGAATCATCGCTTAGTGGAGCAATCAATCGACTATATATGGCCGGTAACTGGGGAAATCACTTAAGACGATTTCATTTGGCTTTATGGCCGGCCCAAAATCGGCCATGTGAGAAAACTCTGTTGTGCGGAAAACTGAAACTGAACTAAGGCAGACGACGGACGAGAAAGAATTGGGCTGGGAAAAAGTTATTAATATGGGTCGATTGCCCCGGGCTCTCCCCAGCTTTTCTCCAGCTTCTCCTCTGGTTTCTTCTAGCTGCGGAGTTTTGCTTCCAATTTTGGTAGCTTGATTTGTCACGATGCTTTTTTTTTTGCCCCTCTTCCAGGGGGTTTTTTGGGTTCCTTTGAGGTTTTTTGTTTCATTTTTTTTTTTTCTTGCTTTGCGGTTTCTGGTTTGTTTTTTTGTGGCAACTGGGAGAAGACAAACAAATTGGTCTGTAGTTGAAAATTGACAAGAATTTCGTGACTTTGTCACCTCTTTTTCCCTTTTTTTTTTGGTTTTGTTTTTGTTGCGCCGTCGAGGAGATCTTACAACGCCCTCGAAGGCAGCAGCAGCAGGAGCTTTCTTTCCTTGTGGCCTCCACTCCGATGCACTCCACTCCGCTCGTTAAGTGGCAGCCAGCGCGTGCGCATTGAAGTCGCTCCAGCGATCCGATCCCCGCCAGACTCGCTGCTGAGCCCCCGCCCCGTGGAAATCACTTCATCATCGGACATCGCGGGCCATTCTAAAGTCAAAGCTCTGCGACTGCAAAACTCTTGTCAGATTTATTTCTTGCTTTGGTTTTTTGTCTTTTCCGCTGCCGGTGTTGTAGTTGCTGTTGTTTCGGCCAAGTTGGTTAGTGTATTACACTAATTTTGGTTGAAAATTAATTTTAGAAGTGGTTTTTGTATTCAATTTGTTTTTTTTTTAATTTTTGTGATGCGTTATTATGCTGTGGGGTTGCTGGGAAAAATGTTTTTGGAAGGATTTTATACAAAAAAGGTATTTTTTTAAATTTAGTTAGTAAACTTCTGGGTTTTCTTGTAATTTTTAAAGCAAATTTTTATATAAAAAAGTTTGTTTTAAATAATTTTAAATGATTTTCCCTTGGCAAAACATGTTTCCCTCATGAAATTAAATTGTTTTTTAAATAATTTTGTCATATATGCAAGGTATCATTGTTTTTCTTAGGGTTTTTTAAGAGTAAATTTCTGGGCTTTTTGTATTTTGTTTGTATAGTAAATAAATTAAATTTATCTTAAATAAATTATAACAATTTTAAATAATTTTCCCCTTGGCAGAGCATAAAAACTTCCCCAAAAAGAAAAACACAATTTTCCCGCTTACTTCATTTGTTTTATTGTGATTTTTATTTCTTATCCCTTTCTTCAATTCGTTTCTTCTTTTTTTATGTGTTGGCTCTACCTGTAACCTTTTGCACTTGGTACCCTTTTTTTCAATTTAATGAATTTTTTCCACCGTTTTCTTTTTCAGCGCCCAGTGACAGCTACAAGGGGCCAGCAGCAGCCGCAGCAGCAGCGACTTGCCAAGGAGGACAACTGCGGATGCTTGTCGCCTGGGCAGCCTCGGTAGTTTCCCTTTA